GATATATATGTTTGAGATTTTATTACACAATTTCTTTATTCATTTATTTACAGGACTACATTCGTTGAGAGCTATGCTACGCAATGTATTATTATATCCGTTATTTGAACACTGTATTTACCTTTCTTTGATGATTTATATAATTTAACAGAGTTAACGGCTAACTTGATTTATATTATATGCAACTATATTGTTTCTAGCCGTACTTATTGTGTAATGGAGTGTATCTGGTGGTATTTGAATCTGTTCAACCATGAAGCCTCCGTGGTCTAATGGTTATGACAGTCGCCTTGACAGCGAGAGGTCGCAGGTTCGAATCCTGCCAGAGGCATTTTATTACACAATTTCTTTATTCATTTATTTACAGGACTACATTCGTTGAGAGCTATACTACGCGATGTATTATTATGTCCTTTATTCGAACACTGTATTTACCTTTCTTTGATGATTTATATATATAAAATATTGGATATATATAAACTTTTTTTATATTATTTACTGAGTATTTTTTATGTATACAATTTATCTGTAATGTTAATCACGTTGTGTTCCGCTTTTGAACAAAAAGTCCCGCTTTCAGGATCAATGTGTCCCGCTTTTGGACGTTCGGGGGTTGGAATATCTGGTTTATATTCTCAACATTATATATTATACAAATATTGATTGCTCATGAGGGGAATGGTAAAATCTATTGCACCGAGGTGATGATAGAGACCGTAGCCTATCTTGAAGATGGGCTACGGTCTTCATATCACCGAAGAGCTATAGATTTCACCGTTCCCCGAATCTAGAGCAGTCAATATTTGTTTTATATATACCTAATACGTAGATTCTACGAGACCTAAATATAGTAATAAAAATAGTAAATACCAAATTGCACTAGGCTTCTTCCTAGGCTTAGGCAATCAAAGGCCCAATCTCTCTCAGCGAGCGTCGTACGTCGTAGATGTCGCGTCTACTTTACCGTTCGTGCTTGTCATAAATGACATATCAACCCGGCTTAGAGATTGTACATCGCGCGCGGCAGGGCAAAAAAAAGTACAGTACTATTTTTGAGGGGAATAGGGGAACTTTTTACTTCCCGCTTCTTAACCAATCAGATCCTATAATCTATGTATGAGGTATATGATATGTGCTAAATAATGTGTATATACGATGTCAACATAATAGTATTGTTTGTGATTATTTTATAGCATTGCTTTCTGTACATGTATTTAATTCTTATCTATGCTTTGTTTCTAATATGTCTTTTATATGTAGAAGTGGTTTGGCGCAGTGGGAACGGTTTGGCCTCGCTGTGCATTTAACTTGTGTCCTTGGGCAAGGCACTTTATCTGCATTGCTTCTCTCCACCCAGGAGTATAAATGGGTTCCTGGTAGGGTTTGATTCAATGACCGGGGTAGTAATGTGAAGCGCTTAGAGGCTTTATAAAGGCATTAAGCGCTATATAAGAACGACATTATTATTATTATTATTATTATTATTATTATTATTATTATTATTATTATTATTATTATTATTATTATTATTTATTATTATTATTATCATTATTATTATTAATTATTATTATTATTATTAAATGCGCTGATGTAGCTGCTACAACTTTGTGGAATACTCCCCAGGGAACTTGAGTTCATATTAGTATTATATAGAAGCGGTTGGCGCATCGGGTCTGGCTTGGACTCCCAACCTCGAGGTGCAAATCGCAGTGCAAATCGGCTGTGTCCTTGGGCAAGCCACTTTATCTACGGTTGCCTCTCTCCACCCATGATTACAAGTGGGTACCTGGTTGGTTCCAACACAGCTGCGCTGATTACTAGCTGCAATATTAGGGAATATTATGGGAGCTGAGTATGTGTTTCATACGTGTTTGATCCAATGACCGGGGTAGTAATGTGAAGTGCTTAGAGGCTTTATGCATGAAGTGCTTTTTAAGGCGAATATATTATTGTTATTATTATATATGATATTTAAAAATTTTTTTAGAACCTATTAAAATCAGTCGACAATTGAGTAATATCCATGCGAAAGAGAATGATACAGTGACGCTGGAAGTTGTTTTGTCATCAGAAGCAGACGCAATGAACGTCACGTGGTTAAAGGATTCACAGGAGATAGAACCTACCTCCAAATACGAGATATCACAATCTGGTACAGCTCTCACTCTCACTTTGAAAGAAGTTAAGCCTGATGATCAAGGAAAATATACTGTGGTCGTAGGGGATGTTACATCATCCGCAACCATTAATATCGAGGGTAAGCAAATTTTAGTAAAACAATTTTTTTGTCATTTTCCACTTTTAGATATTGAAATATTAAATAAATAGTAAATTCCACTATCGTGGGTTTATAATGTGTAGAAAAAATATATAACCACACGAATAAATTCTCTTTCATGTTGCTTTATTGTGTCATTTTCGTAATATAATGAGACTACTTTTGATGTTTGACGATCACGATTCTAACAGCCTTGAAGTTTATTTCCGATATTGGAGATATTAAAGTGACCGAGTTTGATGAAGAGGTAAAATTCCAAGCGCAAGTATCATCTAAAACCGCAGAAGTCATGTGGTTAAAGGATAACACACCTATTGCTGCCAGTCCTAAATATGAGATGGTCGTATCGGGGGAGTATCGAGATCTTGTTGTTAAGGACATCGGTCCAGAGGACGTGGGACATTATACATGTGTCGTAGGTGACGTAGAGTCAACAGCCAGTTTGAATATTGAAGGTAAATTTTAACAGTACGTTAATTTTGCATACCATAAAACAGGCTGCTTTCTATGTTGTGTAAACAAAAGTCACAGAATATAAAAGACATAATTTTAGAACAAGTTTAGTCAAGAATAGGTCTATTATTATTTAACATGCATATTATTCCTATGGTAAGAATACATTTTGTAGTAATAATGTTGTAGTATGTGTATAAGTATATTTTTATATGTAAAATTAATAGGCAAAATACTTAAAAACAATAATGTTGTGTCAAACAATGGATCTCGGTAGAGATACACATTTGATAAGCAACAGCTAAAATATAAACGTAAGTGAACAGCCAGAAATAGAATAAGAACTTTCGAACAATACTAGTGTTTCCTCAGTGGCGATATTTTATAATCAAGTGCACATTAAAAGGCATTCAATAATGATGGTGACAATAATGTTAACATTTAGTTATATTCAGATAAACTACTGCTTTGATTAGAAAATGTTTTCAATGTATTCAAGTTAATAATAATATTTAAAAATTAACCTAATAACCTTTTTTCTATTGGTTTTATTTTATTTAAATTTATTTAGTAACAAAGTTTACCACACCTCTGGAAGATGTAACCGCTGCTGAGTTTGAGGAATCGGCCTTGACTTGCCAAGTGTCGCATCAACAGGCATGTGTTACATGGATGAAAAACAACGAGGTTATCACAGAAAGTCCTAAGTACTCTTTCGTTGTCGGCGGATGTCAGAGAAAACTGATAATTAAAGACGTTGACATTACTGATTCTGCTGAATACTCATGTGTGTTTAAAAATCAAAAATCTTCAGCAACATTGGTAGTTAAAGGTACGTTGATGTCATTGTTAAATGCCACTAAAAAGAAGAACAAACAAATGTATAGACCTGTTATTATTCAATTTGTGTTTTAAAAGACAGAATCATAAAAAAAATTATATGTTCTTAGGAAAAAATATTATTACAATACCATCTTGATCGATTGAAACAATTTACCATTTTGATAGGAACACATTTCACAAAACAGTTAAAAGACACTGAAGCAAATGAATTTGATGACGTCAAGATAGTCTGCGAGGTCTCACACACCAAAGCAAATGTTATTTGGCGCAAAAATGGAAAACCTTTAGAGGCAGATGAGCGAATCAAATTTATCGTTGACGGCAAGAAGCGCGCATTGATGATTCGTGACCTGACGGTTGATGATGAGGCAGATTATACATGTGTGACATCTGAACATTCGACGACTGCAGAACTGCTTGTTTCAGGTGAGACTTTAACACGTCTATAAAAAGGTAGGGCCTAGCTGTAATTTATTGGCACTGCATTGCAGCTGCCCCAAGTTGTCGATGACCCAGGCAAGCCTTATACTTACTCAAACAGAACAAATTTAATTTAGTTACTTTCAACATGCTTTACTTTGTTTTTACTTGATTCTAAGTAATGGAATCAATTTACATTTTCGAGGCTTGTCACTCTATCGGTTCTTATGAATACAGAATAAATTATGTTGCTCAGATATTTTAGTTTAGTTTATATGTGTACAAACAACAGTAAAAAGAGCAGAGGATTGTCTCTTAATAGTATACCTAGTTCTACCTAAAGAATCTCACTGGAAATATGTCTTCAAACTTCCATTGGTTTTCTTGATGTGTTGAAGAAACAGAAACAATGTTGCCAAAAAGGTTACATTTAAAATTTGATATAGGGCTCTTTTTCCATATAAAACACTATAAATAAAAGGTTTTTCCCAAACGATAACTTCCTTAACCTCAATCTGTGATATCTATTACAGAATGCACGTTCTCAACTCAGCTTCAGGACGTTGATGTACTTGAATACGAATCTGCTGTAATGGGATGTAATGTCAGCAACGCCAAAGCAAAAGTTCAATGGAAGGTTGAATCCAATCTCATAGAGGAGAATGAAAAATTCAAATTTATTGTTGACGGAACGAAACGTGCTATTCGTATAAATGATGCCAGAATCAGTGATGATGCAGAGTACACTTGTACCATTGGTGCCGAAAAAACAACTGCCGGATTATTTGTTGAGGGTATAAATACTTTTGTTGAATTTACACGTTTTAAACAGTAACCCACATATGCAGCTACTACTGTCTTGAACATCTTAAGCAATCCTTGACAATATCCACTTTCAAAGCTTACACCAAAACATTACTTTTTAAAGGAAACATCATAAATTTCAATCATAAGTGCATTTGAATTTAACATTGTTTTATAATTTCAGTTATTATTATTATTATTATTATTTATCATAAAACTATTTTTAATAAATTTAAACTGAGGTACGACTATGTAACAGATTCCGATTCTTTAATTGACATCACTAAACATAATTGTATTACAGGGTTATTCTCATAATAGGCTCAATGAGCCTCTGACATCAGATCCAAATATAACTCTTGAATTCGCATGAGTAACTTTACTTCAGAGTTTCCAGATAATTGTATTCCATTGGCTGGTCTTTCCAATTAATACAAATGACGTTTAAGGGTCGCTACGTTTGGAACATCAACAACGGTGGCCGGGAGGCTGTTCCAACAGTTAACACTCCTGTATATAAATGAAAATTTCTAGTACCCAATCTTGTATGAACTTTAAATATTTTATGTTGATGACCTCTCGTTCCACTTCTGTTGGAATTAATAAATCAGTTACCTTCGAGTCATATTTACCAGTTACATATTTCAACAGCCCTATCATATTTTCTCTAAAGCGATACGTTAGTTACCTTCAATATACAATTAAAGGCAAGAACAGACAACTAACAAATAAAAATAATTATTAAAGAGATAGAAAGCGAAACAATGGTTTGGCCTACAATCATATTTCTTTTTGCAAGGTAAAAGGGTTTTTTTAAGATTGTCGTTACGGTCAGGATATCATCATAGTCAGTAACATGCAAAACATATATATTTGGGTTTTTTTACCCTTGCCTCATTTTGATTTCAATAAGTATAGTCTGAAATTATGATGATTAACTTTAGAGCGGATAGTCCAAACGCAATATATGTTTCATTTGAAGTTCAAATTGCAATTCAGAGATGTATTTGCCATTTTCATTTTTATGTGATGAGGGTCTTATTATATATAGCATACAGTCAATTTTGTGAGTACATACATGGATATGCCATGCAATTGAAATTGTAGTTTATTCATGAGGTAAAGTATACCACAAGTAGACTAGCAAAATCTTTGCTGATTTATGTAATTTATTGTAAATTTAGTTGAAATATCTATTGTCAAACATTTTAGAACAGTCGTGAATTGACCAGACTCTTACACAGAATTAACCAATATAGACGGCTTCTTGGCATGAGCCTTTGAAAACCTACAGTAATTCTAGTCATGTAGTTCTGTGGGTTCTGGAGTTGATGAGTAGAACCATTGCCTACTCACACACCATGCAATTTTAGTAAATACAACATTGTTTATCAATAGTATGTTTAATGCCATATTATTACGTTTTCTGTGCGGGAATAATCAAAAATGTTTTGTCTTAAAAAATATTTGTTGTCGACTGAACAAAATACAGAATCACCAAGCTGTCACAAACTTAATTTTACAAACCAATACACCTTTTTTCGGTTTAAATTTCTATGCTATTGTTTTAAATTTCAAGTGAAGCATCCGTAGATAATGATCAGTGTTTTGCTCATTATAAAAAAACAAACATATGTGTGAATACCAATATTATTGCTTACAAATTTCTTTTAGCATAATAGGTAAATTCTACATGCTATATGAATATATATATTGCTTTATCTATACGTTAATTGCAAAATGAGAGAAGATTATTATGTTGAGATATATTTACGTTTACCATACAATAACATTTACATCTGAACAGCAATACATTAGGATTTTTAATTGAGTTTTCTATTTCAATATCCAAATAGCAACCAAGTTTACAAATAAACTAGTTAATACGACCGCTATAGTTGGTGAAAAGGTTACATTAAGTTGCACAGTCTCTAACGAAAGAGCAGTCGTCCGTTGGTTTAGAGGTAAAACTGAAATAAAAGCAGATGCCAGACACAAGATTAAAACAGATGGTAAAACGCGAAAGATTACTATCATTGATGTTGAACTTGACGACGAGGGAGATATTAAATGTACAATGGAAACTGATGAAACAATGGCTGAGCTCTTTGTCGAACGTAAGTAAGAGAGAAAATTATTTGTACTGTATTGACGTTTTGCAGTTCATTATTAAAAATCATTATGTAAAAACTCTCATACTGAGGCTTCATTGTCAGATCGAAATATATTAAAGGTTAGAATATGTGTAGGCCTACAGATTTTCATGCATACTAACATATATAAGCACTCACGTTACGTGTAAATTTCCAGTATAGAATAACAGCAATATATTACTATGTCCATTTTAGCTCCTCCTGTTGTTTTCCTCACCGAATTAAAACCGATCCAATCAATTGAACGTCAAGATGCTCGGTTTACCTGCAAGATTTCTGATGAAAATGCGAAAATAAAGTGGCTAAAAGATGGGGAAGAAATATTTTCGAATGGAAAGTATGGATTTATAGCCAAAGGCAACGAGCGCATCCTAGTTGTTCACAATGTATCGTTTGATGATGAGGCAGACTATACATGTCAAACACCTGACAATAAGTCGACTTCAGAGTTGATTGTAAAAGGTACTATAATACACAGGTTCTATTTTTGCTTTTACGCAGCATGTAATATTCAATATTCCTTACCATAAAAATTAGTTATAGAGTAAATAATATAATTGCCGAAATTCAATATTACTAATTTCATCTTTAAATGAACAAAAGTTCCAAGAAAGCCAATGAATTTCGGGAGGTTTTGCACCAATACCCTGCTGTGTGACTAGTTGTGCCCCAGAACCCCATTATGTTTAATCTTTCACCACCCCAGCCGAATTGTATACCTCTGTCAGTGTAAAACAGGGCGGCGAGAATATCGACATGAGGCCGGATAATAAAAGAAATTAAGGCAAATATTATATTTATTTGCTCCAAATTGACTGATTTATTGATAATATTTGATTGCTGGA